AGTTTTAAAGAAAACCACATAGTAACAACAAAAACACCAGGGGCAGCCATTTATCAATCTGTTTCCATACAAACAGCCCTTAAATTCAAAAACTGTTTCGGAGTTCAAGATGAAGCACGCGTGGTTGGAAGCGAATTGCATGGTGCTTTTCTCCGCTGTTTCTCAGCCTCCATGGAAAAATCAAGGTAGACGAGTACGAAATGTCTCCAGATCTGTTACTGGGTCATTCCACACTAATTCACCGAGGTCGAGGGATCGACACCTCAGAACTGTCTGAATGTTTGTGTTTCGCCACCAATTAGGGTCCTTATGAACGGTGTAAAACGGTTTTGGTCTAAGTCGAGTGGTTTGGGAGATATAGACATGGCTCTGTTTTGGTACACTTAATTTAAAAAAATTCATAGTTTCACAAAAGTGCGCATAACTTTTGAACTGTTTTAGATATCGAAAAACCGAGCAAAGCGCGTGAAAGAGGGCACAATTCCGCTTCGAATGACGTATAAAACATTCACATCGAGTCAAAATTCATTTTCTTGTTATTTTTCACTTTTAATAAACTTTCTTAACCCAAAACACCAATTTCGTATTTTTTGATATTTTTGAAACTTTGCACAGACCTTCCCTTAACATCCCTTAACAACCCCTTAAAATGTGTATTTGAGAGGCACACCACAATGCTGGACCAGAGCTGGCGGAGGACCTTGCAAAACGCTATGATTTGAATGGTGAGTTTTCTGTCTCATAAATCCATAACTTTCAACAATATTAAAGCCTTTCTCCCCTGAGCCAGTTATTTTAGTGTGAATGTTGAAAAACTGTATCAAGTGTTCTTCAAACATATAGTTTCTTGTTCTTAATATTTCTCAATATTTTTCTTGCTTCTGCAGCGTCTTTTGGTGACGAAACAGAAGAGGATGAAACAAGTCATCTGATGGGTACTTTTAAACTTTATCTTACAACTATGTGGTATTTCAAAAGATGAGCTAGTAATCAGTAGTGTGTGTTTAAAATGTGTTGCAGACTCATGTGCTAGTGGCAGTTCAAGTAACAGCAAGGAGGAGACAGTAGTTGACCGCTCTGGACCTTCAATTGATTCGAGGCATTCTACTTCAATAATCAAAACGGCAGCTGACTCTTTGAATAAGTCACGATTCCCAAAAATCAAGACCAAGCCAGATGACTCTGCAAATGTATCACACTCTCAGAGTATCAGGGAGAATGACTCAGCAGACTCTGGCAAGGCAAGCAATGTGTTGCATCTTATTGCATCTCTATCTCCATTGCACTTGAAATGTTAGGCTTTTAAATGTCTCAATTTTACTCCCCCCTGTCTTTTTGGGCCACTGCCGAGGCCGACTTCATCATCTCTGGCAAAATCGTGCAATGCAAATTACAGCTTTTGCCGGCCACGGTCTTGGCCGTAGTCTGGGGACTGTCAAGGATGAAGTTGCGGAAGGAGGCTGCAGGGCGCCCAAAAAAGGCGTGCCTTAACGACGTAAGTTCCCTTCCTAACCTGTCCAAAACAAATTTATTTCCTGCATCCTACACCTGCCTGTATAGTGTTCACGTTAAATGTATTTCAATAGCAGGTGGTGAAGCTGACAAAAATTGTCGTTTCGAGGGTTGGCAGGGTTGTTCCGCCCAGAAACTCAACAGTGAGGGCCACTGTGAGGGCCCTGCTCAAAACCGAGCCCAAATTTTTGAAGGCGGAGCCGCCCAATGCAAAATACTGCCTCAAAACGACCCCCACCCTCCTTGTGCCCAAGAACAGAAGAAAGGCCAAGGAGGCAATGGACATTGGGCTTAAAGACGGGATACTAGAAGCCCTCCATTCCCTGATTTCTGCAAATGACACCGTGAGCAAGTTTCGGGCAGAAACCCCGACGTCCTTGCCAATGTGCCTGGAGGCTTTTGTAGCTAACTTCAAGAGCCATTCTGTAAGTAAAACAAGCTTAAGGGGGCACACCAGTGAAAATGCAGAGTTTTCTTAAAACGATCATTCTGAGAAAAGTAACCGATGTATTCGATTGATATTTTATTCTTGGCTCAAAATTATGTCAAAGAAAAGGAAAATCAGTATGGGAGAGCGAGGTGGCGATGGCAAGATGAAGCGCCAGTGCACTTGATTTTTCAACGACCCTGCTTCACTCCTGCCACGATTCCGCCTCTCTGGATTAAGCTTCGCGCACGGGATTTGAAAATTTCTCAACAGGACACATGTGGCTATGGTCTGAACCACGGGCATGCCAAAATAATGATTTCGAATTTGTTTTTTCAGAGGGCAAAAATAGAAACAAATTTTTTAACCAATTTTTTCGCACTTTCATGGCTGCAGCTCACGTCCTATTTATGGGATGGCCATTTCCGAGGTTCAGACCATAGACGCAAGTGTAACGAACATTTTGCCGCAAACCGCATTAAATTATCTTAATTTTTGCGCCCGTGAGAGTGGCACAAAGGTACAAAAAAGGTGTTTTGAAAAAAAGCCCTTTTACTAGAAACATAGATTTGACGTGTTTTTCGGATTATAAATGCGTCTTTTGACGTATTTTAGTTCAGTTTGCGCCAAAATGTCCCTCTTTTCAACTGCGTTTGGGTGCTTCAAGGGTTTTGTAATTGAAGTTCAAGTGAAAACCCTGAACGTTAACAATTGGTCAAAAATATGCAAAAATAATTTTCTTTTTAGCAACTTTAAAAATGTGCACAAGCCAAAGTATTCGGAATTTCGGGGTGGGGTTTGCGGCCTTCGACTCGGGATGAATAGCAGAAAAATAAGATAAAATAAAAGAGAAGGCAAAAATTTGCCGATTTTCACTGGTGTGCTCCCTTAATTTGACGCTAATTTTTAGGGATGAAATAAACAACTTGTCCTGTGGCAGGGTGACTAAAATACTGGTTTTTAAATTTTTTCGTTTGTGGATCGGAATCGAATTGTTTAAACGTAACTTCATACAAATCACTGTTAAAAATTTTTGCTGAAAATTCAGACTTTTTTGACTGAAGTAAATATGCAGAACATCCTACTGAAAATTCAGACTAAATCCTGGTCTGAAATTTTCAGACTTACACAAGTCTTAACCTTTCAGGCAGGTCGTAGTCTGAAAAATTCAGACAAAATGTCTCAATTATTAGATTGTTTTGTCTGAAAGTGGAAGCAGGAAATTTTCCCGTAACTCGGTGAAATGATAATGTTTGCATCCGAACCTCAAAGGAGAGACGTATTGCAAGGGACCGTCTAGGCAAAAAAATTGAGTGTGGGAAAGTGTCCCCGAAGCTGGACTCTTCCCTGCACTCATCTGGAGCTGGCCTGACGCACCCAAGGAAACGACGGCACGGAGCCACCCGCGAGAGGTAACTTCAAATGTCAATTGTTAAACTCACGCGTTTGCTACAGATATAAATTTGGTATGGGAGCGTGTGTTTCGTCATAGCCAATAGGGTGATAGCCATTTCGGGTTAAAAATATGAAAAATTTAACAGAAAAAACACGTTTTGAACAACAGCAGGCTCTTTACCGACACTGGCGCCACCTGGCGGAGAGAAAAATGCTTTCGTTTTGTCTGAAGTCCCCGAAACGGAGTCGGATTAAATTGAATGCAAGACTGATTGTGAGTTAACCCAATGTTAGGTTGCAAGAAAGCTGTCCAATTTTCTCTTATGTTTGAACATATTTCAGAAAGTAGTCTGAATCCGAAATTCAGACTCTTGAGGTGTGAGAAGTCTGACGCAAGTTCATATGAATTTTGAGTATGAGTACAAATATTAAGACACTTCGAGTCTGAACCAAGCTTTCAGACAAAGCGTTTAAGAACTAAGACAAAAACTCTGATTTTTCAGAATTAAGTCTGTTTTACAGATTCAGACCGCTAAGTCTGACAAAATTGGTCTGAATTTTCAGAATTTTTTTAACAGTTAACTGTGTCAGACAGATATGCTTCCTGTCCCAGTGGTGAAGAAATGTGTGGTGCGAAAGGAGCGCACCGGGAAACCACGGATGTGGTGAGCAGAGCAGCTCCTTGTGGCAAGATAACATTACCACAAGGTAGGTTTACGCCAGACCGCGTCTTGTCGTAACAGGCTTCGCGATGTCTCGCTGCCTGTTCCTCCAATCCGCGCCTGGCGTACCTACCTTGGCCTGCGGCGCTAGCCTGCCTTCGGCAGGCAATGGCTTGTCAATCGTCGGTTACTTCTTACTTGTTGCATACTGGGGCCCCTTCATTTTAGATAGAGTTGCTTCATCTAAAGATAACACGATCTTGACCCTTGTAACTTTTTAATTTGACGAGGCTGGGGGGCTCCGCCCCCCAGACCCCCCTTCCTTCAAGACAGTAGTGATCTGCCAGCAGAAAACTCGATTTTTCGACGTTTTTTCGGTGTTTTTCGGCCATAAAAACTGAACCACGTGAGCTAGGATGGTGAAATTTCGCGTGTGCCGAGCCAAGAACATACCCAATAAGCCTGCAAAATCTCAGCCAGATCGGCCGAGCCGTTCAGGAGGAGTAGTGTACACAGACAGACAGACAGACAGACAGAAAAAACTTTTCAACCACACTGGAGTAACAGGCTTCGCTATCGCTCAGCCAAAAACGGACTCACACACTATAAGGTTAAACTGCCCAACTCAACATAGGTCAGAAATAAATTATTTCAAGACTGACACTCCACTAAAACATAACGAGAGGCTCATTCCCATCATAGTGTTGATAAAAATTTATCACTCAAACCCAAAAGAAGTTTCGAATCATATAAAAAGTGAACTGAGTTGGTTTGACTTGCAATGATGCTTTTAGTTTCTATAACAAAATATTAAATTTTGCATTGCATTCAAAGTATCTTTTTTTCACAAGAGAGAAATAAGGTAGGATGAAAGAAAAAACAGAGACAGTACTATCAAAAAAGTTTTAATTAAAAAACTTAAAAAAAATAATATAGAGTCAGCTAACTACGACACTTAAGACGTTAAAAGTTTTAATTACAAAACTTAAAAAAATAAAATGGAGTCAGTTCACTCCGTACACATTAGCGCTATTTACGCTTGGCTTGCTCTGCTTTAGCCATTTTCTGTAACAGAAATCACTGCGATTAGTACATTGACATTGCTCACACATATGAATCATCACTAAATAAAAAAGTGAGAGACTTACATAGCTCCTTGCAAACATGGGTGAGTATTTCTTCAAGGCTCCCCCCCTGCCACCACGACGTGGCGCAGGACCCACAGCAACTTGCGGCTCAGCAACTTGGGGCGCAGAAACTTGGGGCTCAGCAACCTGGGGCGCAGCAGCTTGGGGCGCCTCAGCAGCTTGGGGTGCCTCAGCAGGAGGGGGTGGGTGACGGTCCCGTCCTCCTCGGCGTCCAGTGCTCACTCTGCCTCTGTTAGACACCCTTACACTGGGGTCTGCTGGTGCAGCTGATTGCACAGGGCGCGGCGGGCGCTCAGCCCTGAAGCGGCTGAATCGTGGTTCTTCTTCTAGTTCAGGCTCCAAGTCCACTTCTGACACACTTCTCTCCTGCCCTTCTGACCGATTGATCGGCCCAAGCCGCTCCCACACAGTCTGCAACAGAAACGCCAAACAACATATAAAATTCAGTTCATCAATTAATTCATTCTATGGTCAGCGAGGAAAATAGAAAAACTTACAACGTGATTGTGGTTTTCATCCCTGTGATTTCGCTCTCTCAGGATGCCATAAGGGGACTGAAACAAGAAAGATCCAAAGTAGAATTCATTTCAATCCCTAAAGAAAACCTAACCTCTCTACTAAGACTCTAGCACACTACTATCGCGTTTTTCTCGCATCGACACATTTTCCCTTTCATTCCCACGGACAGACGGATGATTTCGGCACAACACTTGTACGTTTCACAGTGACAATGATAAATCTATGAAAGAAAACAACGAAAACCGCTGTGGCACGTAAACTAAGCCTTCGACGGCCATGACAGACTCCGGCCTGTCTGTGACGTCACCACTGCCATCCCCCCACCTCCTCTTTGACTGGCGCCTCGATTTGAAGTAAACCGCCACGCGTTCGCCCTGGGTGCGCAAACAAAGACCCACACGCAAATGACTGAAATTTCTCGACCCACGCCGCCAGAGGGAAGGACAACATTACTCTGTTTTGAGTATTTCTAACACAATTTATTCGGAATTTTGCACACGAGAGCCTCCGCGAGGCGCCCCGAACAGGATTCGAACCGAGAACACACCGAATTTACCCTCAGAAAGTGACACAAACTCAGAGACAACTCAGTTCCCACGCTCACGTGCTGGCGTCAACACGCCGTAATTCGACAATTTTTAACCCAAATTTTAACGAATTTCACACGCGAGCACCCTGACGATGCGTCTCGCACAAGATTCGAAACGAGGGAACACAAAAACAAGCCGAACAGGCAGAGGCCTGCCGGTGCGCCCCGCGACCACATGGCACAAGGGACGCTGAGCCCAGATCTCATGATTTTAACACTTCCGAGACAAAAATATTTCCTCCGCGAAAAGGATTTTACTGACATGAGCACGAAACAAACGTCAAAAAAAAAAAAAAAAACACGCACACGCATCAGAAAGCGACATGACGCTATCGCGCCTCGCGCCACGAGGCGTGCCGACGTCGCGAAAACCGACACCCGCACTCACTCACCACAAGGAGTCCGTCAAAGCAACGTTTTAGTTGGAGGCCAAAATCATCATCGGCCTCTGACTGCGTTCCACTTGGGTGTCCGGGACTTTAAACTTCAGCATAGTGTTGAGGTAGTGCTAGACTACCAGGAACCCGTCAGGGGTCGCCGTCGGACCAACGGTGCGCCCAGGATGCCGACGAACGTGAGGCACGCCGGAGCGCCGTGGCGTGCCGGGTGCCTAAACAATCGTCGCCACCGCCGCGGCCGCTGCCGCCGGGTCCTCCGCCCCAACCGCGAGCTTGGACGACGGAGGCCGACGCCGTTGGCACCGACGCCGCCGACGTGTACGTCGACGCCACCACGTGCTTGGTCGGCCGCTGGTGTGCTCCAACGGCCGCTTCGGCCTCTGGCTGCGTTCCACTTGGGTGTCCGGGACTTTTGACTTGAGCACTGCGTTGTGGTGCTCCCGGGCAACCATGAACCCGTCAGGGGTCGCCGTCGGACTACCGGTGCGCCGAGGGTGCCGACGAAGTCAGGCACACTGGCGCGCCGTGGCGGGCAAGGTGCCTGAGCGATCGCGTCGCCCCCGCCGTGTCCTACGTCACGATCCACAGCTTGGACGACGGAGGCCGACGCCCTTGGCGCCGACGCCGCTGACGTGTCCGTCAACGCCACCACGGCAAGGGCCGACGCCGCTGCCGCGTGCCCGGACGACGGCTGATGCCGCCGGCGTGTCCTTCGTCGCCACCGTGTGCTTTGACGGTCAGAGACGACGCCGTCGCCACCGTCGCCGCCGCCGTGTGCTCGAACGGCCGCATCGGCCTCTGGCTGCGTTCCACTTGGGTGTCCGAGACTTTTGACTTGAGCACTGCGTTCGGGTGCTCCCGGGCAACCAGGAACCCGTCAGGGGTCGCCGTCGGACCACCGGTGCGCCCAGGATGCCGACGAACGTGAGGCACGCCGGAGCGCCGTGGCGTGCCGGGTGCCTGAACGATCGCGTCGCTACCTTCGCCGGCTTGTTCTCTGTCGTGACCAACAGCTTGGACTACGAGGGCCCGACGCCCTTGGCGCCGATGCCGCGTGTCCCGACGGCCAACGCCGACGCCGCGTGTCCCAACTGCCGACGCCGTGTGTCTCGACGCCGACGCCGCGTGTCCCGACGGCCGACGCCGTATGTTCGGACGGCGGTGGCGGGGGCGACGCGATCGTTCAGGCACCTTGCCCGCCACGGCGTGCCAGTGTGCCTGACTTCGTCGGCACCCTCGGCGCACCGGTGGTCCGACGGCGACCCCTGACGGGTTCATGGTTGCCCGGGAGCACCCCAACGCAGTGCTCAAGTCAAAAGTCCCGGACACCCAAGTGGAACGCAGCCACCCAGCTTAAAATTCCACCTGGAAATTGGTCTGGATTTATTTCCATTGTGGAAAGTAGAATCCAGAGGGATCTGAAATCCAGCTGGTATTTGGAACGTTTTCCCATCTGGAATTTTATGAATTCCATTGTGGGTTTCCGATTTCCAGTATGGATTTACACATCTGTGGAAATGGAAATCACTCCAAAATACTGTACTCGTTTATTTGTAAAAAAGAGGCTTACTTTAACAATACTAATCGCAGTGACTTTAGAATGGAGCGTGCCCCCTGTGGTCCCCCAATTTGCTGAAAATTCAGACTCTCTTGACTGAAGTAAATATGCAGAACATCCTACTGAAAATTCAGACTAAATCCTGGTCTGAAATTTTCAGAATTACACAAGTCTTAACCTTTCAGGCAGGTCGTAGTCTGAAAAATTCAGACAAAATTGTCTCAATTATTAGATTTTTTTGTCTGAAAGTGGCAGCAAGAAATTTTCCCGTAACTCTGTGAAATGATAATGTTTGCATCCGAACCTCGAAGGAGAGACGTACTCCAAGGTACCGTCTAGGTAAAAATTGAGTGTAGGGGAATGTCCCCGAAGTAGGACTCTTCCCTGCACTCATCTGGAGCTGGGCTGGCGCACCCTAGGAAAAGACGGCACGGAGCCAACCGCGAGAGGTAACTTCAAATGTGAATTGTTAAACTCGCGCGTTTGCTACAGATATAAATTTGGTATGGGAGCGTGTGTTTCGTCATAGCCAATAGAGCGATAGCCATTTCGGGTTAAAAATATTAAAAATTAAACAGAAAAAAACGTTATTAACAACAGCAGGCTCTTTACCGACACTGGCGCCACCTAGCGGAGAGAAAAATGCTTTCGTTTTGTCTGAAGTCCCCGAAACGGAGTCGGATTAAATTGAATGTAAGACTGATTGTGAGTTAACCCAATGTTAGGTTGGAAGAAAGTTGTCCAATTTTCTCTTATGTTTGAACATATTTCAGAAAGTAGTCTGAATCCGAAATTCAGACTCTTGAGGTCTGAGAAGTCTGACGCAAGTTCGTATGAATTTTGAGAATGAGTACAAATATTAAGACACTTCGAGTCTGAACCAAGCTTTCAGACAAAGCGTTTAAGAACTAAGACAAAAACTCTGATTTTTCAGAATTAAGTCTGATTAACAGATTCAGACCGCTAAGTCTGACAAAATTGGTCTGAATTTTCAGAATTTTTTTAACAGTGTTCAAACTGATTCAAGCAGGAATTAGTTGATTATTTCGAGCAAGCTTATCAAGTAGATAAGCTAAAGCCAGCTCGGCAATGGTACAGACACCAAAGAGGTGCAGGTGCCACTGCCTCAAAAATTGAATGATGTGCCAGATGGTACTGGATTTGTCACATGTCCTCTGGAATTAGACTTCCTCGACTAAGGAAATTGGGAGCCTTGGTCACAAGCGAGAGATAACTTAGATTATAAAAATCTCAGCCTGTAATACTGATACATACATCACTCACATAAGGATTCATAACTTTCATAGATACCGTTCAGAATCCACCTATTCGGAAGTATGAGGGAACTTTCTTTGAGCTAGGAGAGCCTTTTATCTACTTCAGGACAAAAAAGCGACACTAGCGCCACCTAGCAGACAAAGCTTACAAAATCCAGTCTGGAAATGAAAAATCCATCCTGGATTTCTAGTAGAATCCATTGTGGAAATCTCGCTATGGAAATCAGACTTTCCACAGTGGAATACAATTTCCATTCTGGGTTACTCAAACCCTTATGGAAAAAAAATTTCCATCTGGAACCCTTATTTCCAGACAGCAGCCTGGTATGGAAATGACCCTTTCCAGCTGGAAAATATAAATCCCATATGGATATGAGCAATCCAGATGGAAACAAGGAAATCCAGAGGAAATTCCAGGTGGAATTTTAAGCTGGGCAGAGGCCGAAGCGGCCGTTGGAGCACACTAACGGCCGACTAAGCACGTGGTGGCGTCGACGTACACGTCGGCGGCGTCGGTGCCAACGGCGTCGGCCTCCTTCGTCCAAGCTCGCGGTTGGGGCGGAGCACTCTAAATGTTCTACAGTGAAGATTCTGGTGAAAATGTTCCATATTATGGTGGTGCAGCTGACTTCGTAACATACCATCGAGAATTCACTGCACCTTATGGAGATTTTCACGAATTTCGTTGGTATTATGGAGAAAATCTCCACCATATTATGTAGGTGCAGCCTTTCACCGTAAGACATTTACTGTGAGGACCCGGCGGCAGCGGCCGCGGCGGTGGCGACGATTGTTTAGGCACCCGGCACGCCACGGCGCTCCGGCGTGCCTCACGTTCGTCGGCATCCTGGGCGCACCGTTGGTGCGCCCGGACACCCAAGTGGAACGCAGCCAGAGGCCGATGATGACTTTGGCCTCCAACTAAAACGTTGCTTTGACGGACTCCTTGCGGAACGTCCTCGTATCTCCGGAACCGCTTGTCCTAGAGCATCGGCGACCTCGGCGTTGGACTCCCCGTGTGCTGGGGACCTCGAGGACAACATCGGGGACCACCTGGGTGGTGGCGACAACGGTGTTGGAGCGTGTGGCGGCACAGCAGCCACGTTCGTCGGCATCCTGGGCGCACCGGTGGTCCGACGGCAACCTCTGACGGGTTCCTGGTAGTCTAGCACTACCTTAACACGATTTTTTCTCAATATTATCGTTAAAGTAAAGTATTGAGTTAATACACATTAAAATAAAGTGTTTTGTATTTAATTTTCAGAAACTAAGCTCTGAAGAACTGAAGGGAGTATTTGGATACTTTATCGATCAGCCGGATGAATTTGAGATCCTTCCAGGCCATCGAAGACTCTTACTGGAGGTCGCTTCAAAAATGCAGGACACAAGGCTTCTTGTTCCTTTAGAGCGCGAAGAAAAGAAAACAGGTATGTACTTTAGGTGTTAAGATTTGATTCGGATTTATAATGTTAGTCTAGTGCTACATGTGTGGGACTTTTATCTTCTTAGCCTATGTTTTATTCTTAGATCTTACTTGCCAATTGATTAATGTTGAAGATAAATTATTGCTAAGTTTAGAACTTGCAATAATTTCACTACAACTTACAAGATTGTAATTGTATTTTGATGAGATATTGACTAAGATGCTACTGACGGAGGGAGAAATAAACGAGGGAGCTTGTCTATGCGGAAAGTGAACCGTATCATAGCAGAGTGTAAGTTAACTAACATCCATGCAAGTACATGAGAGAAGCTCCAGACAAAAAAAACTTTTTTTCGAGGACAAACTTGTCTTTTTCTCCAAGTTATGTTCCTATATAAGTTTGTCCTCGAAAAAAAGTTTTGAGGCACCATGTTAAAAAGGCGTTTCAAGAGGTGCTGATCAAAAGTAGATAGCTAAAAAAATTATTTTTTTTGGCCCCAAAAACCACCTAAGCCTAGTGGTAAAATGACCCAAAATTTAAAATTTGTTCACAGTTCCCCCTTAATTCCCTGACATGGCTAAAATTTTTGGGGGGGGTTTACCTATGGGTAGGCACCATTTAAGACAAAGAGGAGCGAAATCGCCGATGGTCTACTTCAAACGGCCCTGATATGCCCAAATCTTCAGTAAAAATAGTGAAATTGAGCAACTTTGAGAGCCCGTAGCATCCAAACCCGACGTCGTAGAGCCTCGTTCGACAGGGATTCGAAAGAGCGCATTTTTTTGAGTATCTGAGACCCATTTGGGTACTTTTTGGATCTCGGTTTGCGAGAACCCATCTAGTCCCAAACCCTCGAAAACAGCTGTTTTTTGGGGGGTTTAGACCCGTCCCCAAAACCACAGGGGGGGTCGGATTTCGTCCAAGTGTCTTTTCGGCAGTTCGTTAAAACAATGAACCGATAAAACACCACAAGCGCCCGCTCCTAGGATGTCGCCGACCAAGTGGTTTTTTTTGTCTGGAGCTTCTCTAAGGTTAAAGGCCTCTCACTTCCAATACATAGAATATTAGCTGACATAAGCTAACACCTTGTAGGCCAGTCAATTCTACAGCTCCATTGTAAGTTTCATCGCAATCGGAGACCAAGAATAAAGACAGCTATAATAATTGTAAATCCCATCAGTTTGGTTGATTGGTTGAGCGGGCGCAAGTATGAGAAATCGCTGCGGCAGATTTTTGCAGCTAACTTTAAAATATATTCTGCCGCCTTCACTCTTGGTCTCCGATTGCGATGAAACTTACAATGGAGCTGTAAAATTGACGGGCCCCACAAGGTGGTGTGGTTGGATTTACAATCTGAAAATAGTTTTCACACATTAAGCTCCACAAAATACTTGAACTGTTTTGGGGGTTTTTGCAGCGCTTCGGGCCTTTTCGTTTTTTTTAGAAGTTTGACCCCCTTTTGCAAATCCAACACAGCGGGGTGATAGAGAATTGAATTCTGGGTTGCTTAGTGAGGTTGACAATGCTGAGAAACCTATTTCAAACTGTGCTTTTAACCTCCAAAGTTGCAAAATACAATTTTGGACCAAAAATGGAAATTAGTTTTTGGATCGGCATTTCTGCTACAGACGTCGTATTGGCGTTCCAAATGTACCATGCAACCCGAAAATAGTGGCCAAAAACCGGCTCGCTGTATGTAGGCCCTAAAACGAACGGAAATAGTTTTTTTAGTGAAAGGGAAACTTCAAGTCGGCTGTCTGGTGCCGTAAATTTGGTTTTCAAATTGATTTTTGAACTGTTTTACATATCCAAAAGTCCATTCCATTGTCACTCACGGATAGGAAATTTTGCGTAGAATCTAAAAAAGACCTCGTTTACTCAGTTCGATGCAGTTTTGACAAAGTTCTGTTTAATTTGGTTCGGCCGCGCGGCCCAGCCGCCCGTCCGCTCCTTGCCGGCCCGAGCGGCGCGCATAGCTTCACGCGCGCACTAGGCTGTTGCCACCCCCTGTCAATATTTTCCGTAGGCTCTTACAGTTTTCTTTGTAGGGCCATACAGTATTCTCCGTAGGACCGCACAGTCGTTTCCGTAGGACCTGGAACCACTGTACAGCCCTACGGAGAACACTGTAAGGCCCTACGGAGAATACTGTATGGCCCTACAAAGAAAACTGTAAGAGCCTACGGACAATATTGATAAGAGGGCTACGGAGAATTACCACATGCTGTTTACAAAATTTTTCCGTAGCTTTTTGCCACAGTGGGCGTTTGGCTGAGGCGGTTTTCAGTGAGGTGCGAAGCGGCACCAGTGCCCGGCGTTTGGCTGAGGCGGTCTCAGTGAGGGGGACATTCCACGTGAATCCAACGACGGTTTGGAATCGAGGTCCTCGGATTTCGACCTAAGTGGTATCAATCGATTCGGTATCGGCCCCTGACTACCATGTAATTTTTTTAAAAAAATTTTTGAACGGTTTATTTTTTGCACCAGTTTTATGGTTTTATAAGTTTAAAAATAGTAAAAAAAAAAAATTTTTTTTAAAAATTTTTTTGTGGGTTTTCTTGAGGGTTTAGGAATGTGGGAAAAGCTTTAAAAAGTTGTTTGAGAACCGTCTGGGAGGTTTTAAGGGTAGTAAAAATGGTGAATTTTGGTAAAAATTTGACAAATTTCACCGTTCTGAAAATACGTCATCATGGATTTTGGCCAAATTTTTTTTTTCTTTTCCTCTACTATTGGTGCATACTCCCTTAAGAGGGTTTGGATGGCCCGCCACAATTTTTTCTTCTGGAGCCTATAACATGTCTAATTGCGGCATTTTTTCCCTTTAATTGACTGTTTTTTTGTCGTTTCTCTCGTACGCTTACTTGGTCGACCATGCAGATACTCAAAGTAAGGATATCGGGGCCCAACACAACTCCTGATAGCTAGCTCTTCTATATGCAGACTTTTAGGGCCCCGTGAAAACCATTATTATATACTTTACACAAATTTATTTTATTTTTAGGACATTTTCACTCAGATCTCGACTACCTGAGACATGGAGTTTCGAAGTGGACTTTATGTAGTACAGCACATGTTTCAACTTGATTACTCTTTTCCCTTAAGAATTTCTGAATCTTGCCATCCTTAAATAGTGAGTTGTCACTAAACTTTTTTCCACTTCAAAACTCCATGTCTCAGGTTAGTCGAGATCTATGAGTGAAAATGTGCTCAAAATAAAATAAATTTGTTTAAAGTACTATGATAATGATTGCATGGGTCCCTAAAAGTCTGCAATTAGAAGAGCTAGCTATCAGGAGTTGTGTTGGGCCCTGATGTCCTTACTTTGAGTGATCTGCATGGTCGACCAAGTAAGCGTACGAGAGAAACGACAAAAAAAAAAGTCAATTTAAAGGGAAAAATATGCCGCAATTAGACATGTTATAGGCTCCAGAAGAAAAAATTGTGGCGGGCCATCCAAACCTCTTAAGGGAGTATGCACCCAAAAGTAGAGGAAAGAAAAAAAAAAATTTTGGGCCCAAAAACCATGATGACGTATTTTCAGAACGGTGAAATTTGTCAAATTTTCACCAAAATTCACCATTTTCACTACCCTTAAAACCTCCCG